TACTGAGAGATGTGCTAAAGCGATTTGTGAGCCAGGGGTTGCACAGAGACCGCAGGGAGGTGTGACTGTCAGGGAGCGATTTTGTTTATGGTGTTCTTGAGGACTCTTCTTGCTTTTTTTCTTCTTTGGGGAATTACTTATCAGCTACTGTTTCATAATTGAACAGCAACTATCCATGACACTTTATCGCGGGAACTGTCTTTAAACAATTATATGGTAAACTAGGAGGCACAAATATGCCCAACTGTATATACTGCTGGTATCTCTGAATACAGTTTTCTCATGTTCTCCTCGTCTTGATGTTGTTATTTCCATTACGACGTCAGGAAGCTATTTTTCAGAGGTTTCGCTCTAGTACCATGGCATCGGAGTTTGGTAATCCGCTAAAAAAGTTCAAACTAGTATTTTTGGGGGAACAGAGTGGTAAGATAACTCATATTACTGTTACCTTCTGGTTTTCATTATTCTGGTTTTGCAGTTGGGAAAACATCTTTAATCACTCGGTTCATGTACGACTCGTTTGATAATACTTATCAGGCAACTATTGGTATTGACTTCTTAAGCAAGACCATGTATCTGGAAGATCGAACGGTTGGAATTTCCAGATATTTTCTCTTTACTGTAAAGGAATGAGATAACATAGTCGCCAGGCTTTTTACTCAAAAGTGCTCCACCATTTTAGGTTCGCCTTCAACTCTGGGATACTGCTGGACAAGAGCGATTCAGGTCCCTTATTCCTTCGTACATTCGGGACTCTACTGTTGCCGTTGTGGTCTATGATATCACCAGTAAGTCAGATTCGCTGCACTTATGATCGATAAGAGAAACATCACAGGTCAAGGTGGCCATTTGCGATGAAGCGGTACGAAGATTTTCCTTCGTCCTTATTCCATAGCGCGTCAGTAGTGCGTGGGAGCAGTTTGAGTGAGCTATGAGCGAGTCTGTAATCGTGACATGGTAGAGCGCCCAGATATGTTTGATGTCAAAGCTCCAGTCTTCGATTTGCTCTGTTCATGGGTCCTCTCTAGCAAGCAGTGCGTTGTCCTTACTCTAGCATTCCTGATGTCTCTTTCTTCCTTCTGACAAAAAGTCTGTGACGTTTAAAGGCACTTCCCGCGATCCAGTGGTCCTCAAAATGACTCCGTGCCTTTTGAACTGCAAAGTTCCATGGTGAGTTAGTGAGCTTCCCTAGTAAGTCAATAAAGGGCAAGATGTAGAAACGGAATTTTGCAAACTGGGGTTTTTCACAACAAGGGTTTTTCACAACATCAAATCGATTTGTGGCACAGTCATGACGATTCTGACCCTGTAAATCCAAAGAGATAGGAGGAGGATCATGTAGCCGCTTCCTTAAAGACAATTTCTCGCGATCAAGTATTACGGATATTGTTAGGTTGATGCATGTTTTTGACCCCGACTTTTTTGTAAATTTGATCCTTCCGTATTTCGTTTGCATGGATGTTGGTATTTCGTCATCACGTGTGCGTGACGTGTACATGATACTCTTTCATCACACTAGCTATCACTCACCCACCCTGCATTTGCAGGCCACAATGCCGCACAATTACCACTGTGAAATCATGTCACAGTGGTGATTGTGCGGCATTGTGGCCTTCTTCGGGTCCCAGCCCCCGTCCTTCTGGGAGGATGGAATCGACAAGCTGCCTGAGCGTTGGCGTCGAGTAGTGGATGGTGATGGTGCATACCACTGGTTCAGGCTGGTTCGCCATTGAGATATACCGACCGAAAACTGGGAACTACGTAGAAAATCACTGTTAGGGAATGGATCAGGATCGGGATGGATGTGGCATGGGCCAACATTTTCACACATTTCCACAGGGCACACGCAAGGCAACCTAAACCCACAATAGGCGGAAGGGGCGGGGGGATGACGAAGCTATAGTGCTCAGGAAAAAAAATTCTCAAAACGTATCCAGAACCGTTGATTACGGGTGAAGATCGGTAACAGGTTGCCACCCGTGATAAGTGAGAGGCTGCCGAAGTTTATAACTCGCTTTCGAGCACATCAATGTGGTATACTCGCTGTGAACAGAGTGTATGCTTGAGCGGATGGATACTCAAATTAAAAGTTGGTAACTCGGCGTAAGTTAATTAATTATTTATCTGCTTACGTACCTGTTGTTTATAGCACAACAATTTAGACAGGTGCTTTTTTCTGCTTCTACCATCCATTGAGCATTTAATATCATCACTTCCCACCCGTACCCTATGCAGAAAGTTCACAACTGCCTACTAGGGGTATATACGAAAAGTGAATTGAATGTTCGGGAATTGGCATGTTCGGGAATTGCGGAAGAAAATTTTTGCTCTGGTGAAGCCCTAGCCCTCGCTTGAAAATGTCACGAGGATTGCCCACTTCACACGCATACGGGGAATCGCCCGGCAAAACTGGGCGAGCCGACTGGTATATAAAAAGCCTTTGTTTCCTACTGTTGCTTGGTTGGCTTGTTACGTGCCAGTCAAGGGTTTCTTATTAAAAGCTACCTGAGTAGCTGGTTGACAATCCAATCAATGGGGATAACAAGGGTGCGCCCTTAAGACTTGGTTTCGATCCTTCTTTTGTAACAAAGAGACGATGGTTCAGTGAATTTTTTTTTTCATTTAGCTGATAGGAGACAGAGGACGTGGGACGTAGACGACATCCAATGCCCACCTACCATCTCGCGTGCACTTTCTTAGATGGGTGCAAACAAGTGCTCAAAAGCGAAATAGTCATATAGTCATGCAAGGAGAGAGAGACTGGTGCTGGTCAGGGGCGTCATATAAAGTGTAGAGACTGCCTTCAGCCTGAGGATCCAACTTGCTAAGGTAACAGGGCAAGATTAGTGCATCATAACATGTGTGTGCACGAATATCGGAAACGAATATTTCCGCTTGTAAGTCAAAGATTTAGGTACGAAAAGCTTCTCAAAGGGAATCTTATGAGGCAGATGTTGAGGTGTGATAAATAGTTCTGAATGAACATACTCCTAAAAAAGCACGAGAAAAATCCGACCGTGAATCGAAGTTCCGCTCTTTGCTTCAGGATTGGCTTGATCATTTGTGTGGAATTATGAATCAGATATCTTTTTAGACGCAAACTCATTTCATCAAACTTCAAAGTGGATAGATGATGTTCGTACCGAAAGAGGTAGCGATGTCATTATCATGCTTGTAGGGAACAAAACTGACCTTGGCGACAAAAGGTATGTTCTTGCTGCCTTCCGGCCTCTGTGACTGTTAATGGTGCATTGTGCAGGCAAGTATCAAGTGAAGAAGGACAGCGTAAGGCAAATGAACTCAACGTCATGTTCATTGAAACATCGGCCAAAGCGGGTTACAACGTCAAACAAGTATCGTTGTTTTCATTTATTCGAATTACATCTTGATTCAGTTGTTTTATTGCAAACGCAATTTTGCCAGCACTTGTCCAAGAAATGACGATTTCTCGCACTCTTAAGCTCTTTGATCAATGCTATTTTATGCATGCAGTTCCATGGATGTAGTGAGAGGTCACCACGCGACACAAAAATAAAAACCCAAATTTTCTTCAATATTGTGTGCTGCCTTTCCATTTGGCTCATGTTGTACATTATCGTGTTCAACCTAACTCAAACGTTCTTTTTGCATGTTACAAGAAAGATATTTCAGCTCTTCCGTCGTATCGCAGGCGCTCTGCCAGGAATAATAAAGGATGACGATCGCATTGATAACAGTAAGTATTGGTCTATGAATGTTCGCTGCCTGCCCTTAATTCGTTTTGGATATCCTACTTTTTATCAGCAAAGAAATCATACTCTGATTGTTCCTTAAGTAACAATGTGAACTTTGCTTTTATATACGAAAAACAAAGATGTCTGCATGGCCATTTGCGTTGCTGTAGTCATCATTATCGCCGGTCCTCTTGGGTGTGGGTGGGGAGAGGACTACTTTGACAGGCTTATTTATGGCTGGAACTCGATGATCAACGGGAGCATTATGGGCGGAGATTTAAGTCGCCCAGGACTAGGATGACGATCTGTTCAACGCACGGACGCTTGCATCGGAAGCTCACATCGAAGATCTGATGTTGCAAGCCAGGAAGATCAAGTACGACGTCATCGGACTGACCGAGACGAGGAGGCATCGCCCGCTACACGCCGTATACGAGACTGGAGAAGAACTGTTCCTCGGAACATGCGACAGCAGAGGCGTTGGCGGTGTGGGCGTCCTCGTCAACACGCACTTGGCCATGAACATCGATTCGTACGAAAATCTGACGACCCGAATCGGACGTTTGCGATTGAGAAGATGTGGTTCAACTCCGGCTTTGACAATCTTCGTCGCCTAGGCACCTTCGCTGTTGTTCCTAAGTTCTACACGGGATCCGACCACCGTCTCCTTCGCGCAAGATTCCGCTTTTCGATGCGAGGAGAGAGAGCCGCAAAGTTCAAGAAGCGAAGCCCCAAGTCAGGATTCCATAATCGACAACATCGACGAGGAATACGAACGGCTTGTCGCACACCTTCACGACTGCGCCAAGAAGTCAGAGAGTTCCAAGATTACCAAGAAGCGTCTATCTCTGGAAACTCTCGAGCTGATTCGCCAACGTGGAGCCGCACGAGCCGCAGGCAATTACCAGCTGACGTCTGAGCTTGCGAAGCTATGAGAAGCGATAAAGGAAGACCTCAAGGAGAGAAGAGCAGCAGTACTGGTGGAAGCCGCAGAGGCTGGGAAGAGCATACGCAACGCCCGCCGCGACTTCGCCAACTCGCATCCAGAAGGGCAATGGAGAAGGTCATCCACGACTTCTACTCTGATCTCTTTGACAGCCACGTCCACCTGCCACCATACCGCTTGGAGCAAGATGGATACGTCGTTCCTGCAGTTCTCCCTTCCGAAGTCCGACACGCCATCTCGTCGGTGAAGAATCGTACGGCACCCGACAGGATCAGACCCGAACATCTGAAGAATCTTCCGCCAGTTCTTGTCAAAACTCTGGCTCGACTCTTCACGCGCTACCTGTCGGAATGCAAGGTA